AAACTACCAGAGCGGGTTCTCAACCAGTGGTGAACATTACACATAATCACTGTCATCCACTCCCACCTACTAAATTAGAATTTTCAGTAGGGTGGAAAGGCACACTTTTTCCACCTCCTTTCCTCCCTTTATCTTTCTCCCTCTTTCTCTCTGTACTCTTTCCAGCCCGCCTCTCTCTCTCTCTCTCTCTCTCTCTCCTCCTTCTCTCCCCTCTCCTTTCTTTCTTCCTGGCTTAAAACCTTCACAGATGATCATCATTATAAATCATAAGCTCAAAATGTAACTCCAGGATCTGGACTTTATCTTCTTCCAAAGCCTTATTTTTCACACCTCCTCCAACTTTCTACCCTGCTTTCTAATCCTATGACACAGCAGGCAATTGAATGATTCCAGACCTTTGCTCCCTCTTTCTTGGCCCCATAGCAGTTTCAGTTATTAATTCATGCATACATTCATGAACCCATGCACATTCTGAGCACCTAGCATGTGTCAGGCACAGATTCAGGGAATAATGTAGCAGGGAATACAATGGATGCAGTTGTGCCTCACAGAGTCCATTTCATTTGTTCTAAGCCCCAGGAGCACCCCTGCGTCCCCTTCTTTCTCACTGCATAGGTAAATACTGACTTAATATTACACTCTCTTGTAGACTGTAAATGCCATGAAGGCAGGAACTTTCTCTGTCTTTGTGGGTGATCAATAAGCCTGTTTCAGATTAAATTGAAAAGCTCTTCCTCTAACATAGTTCTTCTAGATCATTTCCAGAGCCTTCTCTCCCTGCTGTCTGGTCTGACCTGCTCGCCCTCAACACAGTCCGAGAGCTCTGCCTCAAAGAGCTTGTGCCCTAACTCACACAGACTCAACACTTAAAATCTTTATTCTATTTTGTTTACAGGTTTTTCTCCTCCTACCAAACTGAGCTTCTCAAAGTTTGAAGCGATTTCTTTTTGCCTTATTAATCTTTGCACTTTCATATAGAACCTAGCATATAAAGGGAACTTACGAATGTTTGCCAAACTCATGTATGCATTCATGTTGTTTCTTCTGGGGGGTTTATTTTGTTTGCTTTTTTCCTTTCCTTTTTATTGGTGCATTATAATTGCACATAATAGTGAGATTCATGGTTACATATTCATATATGCACATAATATAAAAATAGAGTTTGGCCAATTTCATTCTCCAGTAAATTTGTTTGTTTGTTTGAGACAGGGTCTCACTATGTTGCACCAAATAGCTTTGAACTCCTGGGCTCAAGTCATCCTCCTGCTTCTGCCTCTTAAGTAGCTGGAACTGGATATGTGTGCCATTTTGTCTTGACTTATACTGCTTTGCATTGTTTTGTACAAAATTCCTTGTAGTTTTCATAAAATCTTCTTAAGATGTTTTCATCTCTCTATAGTTGGAAGATACCCTAACTCAAATTTCATAGGTTGGAATATACACAACACAGAATTTAAAGTAAAATGTTTGTCAAGGATATAATTGAAATCCTCAGAGAGAGGACAAAGTACGACTTTTGGGAATAACTTTTGCATTCTTGACAGGAAGTTGAATTGAGGACTTAGCTCCACCTCAAGCCTTCTATCCTGGATAAGTAAGGCACCCAGACTTTTTACTTTTTCGGTCTCTAACTTATTAAACTAATAAGATACTACACGTGATCTTAGCCAAAAGGCCGAGATGCAATAGGCCTCTAACTTTGACATGGAACAAAAGACATGGTTTTTTAATATAAACTAAGTTTTGACAGCAAGTAAGAGGCTACTTAAATGAATTAAATAACACCTTTGAAATTCATTACAAAATGAAATCAGACAACTTCTTGATAGGAACAGGGGTCTGAAAAAGAGATGGTTATGCTCTACAAAATACAAAGAATATAAGTGTTCTCAATAAATTATGTTCAAAGCATTATGTTATGTGCATAGTAGACTCTCAATGAATATTTATTGGATGAAAGACACAAAACAATTAAATCGAAAAGTACTGGCTTCTGTTACTATTGAGAATCACCAGAGTCACACATTGCAGGTCCTCCAGGAGCCATGGTTCCACTCCCTGATGCTAGAGCCAGTGCTAAGTGTCTCCACAGGTAAACATAGCCTACTATTAGAAGTCATTCAGCTTTACATGTGTTCAGGGAGATCGTCCTGCCACACATATACATGACTGCTAATCATACAATTCATAACTGAATATAAGCTGATATGTCACCTTAATACATATCTTTTCATCAAGCTGGAGAAGCTATAAATTCATTTCTACATGATATTATGATTGTAAAATTTTTGCAGAAATTTAAGATCACTATTTTATGTAGCAACTGAGTCTTCCTTGAAGTAGTATTAGATATTTTTCAATTACACTATAGTACATGTAATTTAGCATGCATGTAGGCATATATGAATTTTACTACCAAATTCGTTTTCTCTGCAGTATTTTGGATATCTGTATATGTAATGGACATCCTGGAAAGCCACATTATTCCCACAAATACTTACTGGAAACAATGCTCATTCTGTGTAACAAAAGGAAGGGTTAATGAAATTTATGTATCATTGGAGCAGATAATTTTACAAAGCTATATTCTTAAGGCTTCAGAATGAATGATTTGACTGTGGGAGCAGAGTCTTAGGGGCAGGATACCCCAGATAACCTCACCCACATGCATTTCTCAAACAATGCTTTTCTGTATGTAAACAGAAAATAGAAAGGAATATATAGTTTTTGTCCTTATTATTAAGTATCTGGCTTTTATTCAGTGCACTCTTAAATTTCTGCACAATGCACAGCCTTCAGCACCCCAAGGAGCATAAACAAAGGATATCAGGCAAGTTCACCTACTCCCACTTCACAGAACAATGCTTGTTGTTAACTAAGCAATTCCCAGGGCAGATTTATGATTCGTGGAGCCCAGAGTAAGTACTCAGGTTGGGTACTTGGAATCTGGGGTCAGAAGTATGTGGTGCTGCTCAGTCCCCAGGGCTTTTAAAAAACATGAAAATGTGACCTAAAGTTTACGCCTGCATGTACACCAGAGACTATTTAGGCATTTAGAGAAATTAAAGCACATAAAGATCTCAAAACAGTTTATTGTTCATGCTCCAAGATTTAACCTTTTCTTTCTTAGTGCTGGTATGGTTTTTCTCTGGTCTACTGAATAAATAAGAAGAATCAATTATATATATTACATGTCTTATAAAAAATAGACTGATAAAACAACAAATTACATAGGTAATTAAATATGAAAATTTAAAAAAATTGTCTGAATTTCATAAACAAATTTGTGATTATGATTTAATGGGATCAAATTCTGTTTTTATAAGACAAAATTTGTAATCTGTATACTTAATTTAACCCAAATTTCGTATGAGTACTGTAGTTCCAGTCAGAAGTGAAGTGCATATAAGGGCTTCTTCTCTCCCAGCCTCTTTAGGAAACATTCTGGTTAGAGTTACATTCTGTTATAGTTAGGATGTGATATGTCCCCCAAAACCTCATGTGTGAGACAATGCATGAACATTCAGAGGTGAGATGATTGGATTATTAGAGCCTTAACCCAATCAGTGAATTAATCTTCTGATGGGGATTAATTGAAGGTGGGTAGGGTGTGGCTGGAGGAAGTGGACATTGGGGCATGCCTTTGGTATATATTTTGTATCTGGCAAGTGGAGAGTCAGTCTCTCTCTCTCTCTCTCTCTCTCTCTCTCTCTCTCTCTCTCTCGCTGATTATAATGTGAGGTGCTTCCCTTCACCATACTCACTCATCTGCCATGATGTTCTGCCTCACTGAAACTGAAACTGTGAGCCCCCAAATAAACTTTTCCTCCTTAAAATTGTTCTTGTCAGGTCTTGTGATCACAGCAGTGAAAAAAACTGACCAAAACATATCCCACAGTTTTATGTCATGATACAAATATTTAAAGTAGTTCTTTTTTTTTTGTACCAGGGTACCAAAAAACCACTGAGTCAAATCTCTAGCCAGTGGTTTGTTTTTGTTTCTGTTTTGAGACATGGTCTCCCTAAGTTGCTTGAGGCTTCACTAAGTTACTAAGTTGCTGAGGCTGGGTTTGAACTTAAGATCCTCCTGCCTCAGCCTCCCAAGCTGCTGGGACTAAAGTGGCTTAAGAGAATCTTTTCTACCCCTTGTTTTCTGGCTCAGGTATAAAAGAGAAATTGGTTACTATTTCCATTTTTATGAATATGATTTTATCAAGCCATTAAGACTTTAAAATAATCAAATTTCATCACTACTCTTTCACTCTTTAATAATCACCCATTAAATATTAAAGTTGAGCCAGAAAAGATAATATAAGAATATACATATACACAGTATATAACAATGTTTTTATAACTTTAAAGAAACTTAGAAATGTTTGAATACATGACTTAATTGTTGAATTGCATGGGTAGTTAGTATATAACACAGCCATATGTCTCAGGCTGAATAAAATTCTTGATGGGTCAATGAAGGTGTTGGGTCCCTTCACATACCGTAGACAATTCAAGTGCTAGTCTACAATTCCAGTTAATTTTCTGTGAGGTTAAGTGGCTATTCCATAGTCATTAAATAATTATTAACTATGTTATTGAGGAAAATTATGTCCTACCAAGTTCCCAATAAAATTATGGTGTTTAAAGTTTCCATAAATAGACTTTAACATAAATCATGAAGCTTCAAAAGGGGGAAAATACAAGAGGAAAAAAAACTATAAAGAAGAGAGATCAATACTATTCACACAATGGTTTTTCAAAATACTCATAAAATTGCTTTTTAAAAAATAATACAAAGTTAAGAAGTTCTGGGTTAAATGACAGAGTCTGATAAAATCCACAGCCTTCAATTCTGACATGAAGGGAAAAGAACATAAATGCCTGGTCTACTGAGCTTTCCCTTGTCTGTTAGCTAGGGAAGAAATGCCTGCCTAACACCTACTAGTGCAAGGTCAACGAAAAAGTAGATTAGTGAGAATAAAACAACAAAAAGAACAGTCCCCTACCCATTGCTTCCTACTGAATGAACTTTTGACATATCAGCAAACTCTTCTTTTCTCTTGCTGCTGCTGGTATACTGTTCGCTGTACAGCTTGAGGGACATCTGCTCAACAGCATCTCTTTGTGCTTCCAGGTAGCATAGCTGAACCTCAGCCTGGAGAGAGAAACAAAGAGGAATGGATGCTTTAATCCAGAAGGAATGCATTTCAAGTGAGGTGTAACAACTCAAAAAATGGGAATTGTTCACAACATTATATGCTCCTTTTGGGGTTGGATTTAATGGGATCAACTGGGCATATTACAGGATTATATATTAGAGCTGAATCTTGTAAGTTCTTCCTTAAAATATGACCCAAATAAATGAACTCTTGGAAGACTCAGTAAATATCACAAAATATCCCTGAGATCATAATACTGTATGATAAAACTTTACATAAAATATCTGTAAAATTTTTTAATAATGATCTTGTTCATATTGTCATATATAATATTTATTTTTTTAAATTTCCCCCTCCAACCCAGACACTGGGAGGTTACACACATACACACACACACACACACACACACACACACATATATGTTTTTAATTTTCTTCCATAGAAATAAAAAGAGAAAGAGAATAATTTTTAAAAGTCCAATATTAATTATAGTACCTCTCCAATGGTGAAAATAGGCTTCCTTTATTACTTTTTTTCCCTTTTGATTCTCTGTATTGTCTTAATAATTTTAACTCAAAGGAATAGTAATTTTGGTTACATGCAGGTTTGGATTATTAAATCTTTCATAGTTACTTGGGCTTCCTGTAAAGAAGAGGTAGTAAGTTCACTATGCTGTTTTCTATCAAACCAATGCATTCAAAAGAATGCTGAATAATATTTGGCATGGAAATGTATTAAATAGATGCTTTATTTATTGCAGCTGTTATAATCCCTGTGGCTTTAGGGTTCCCTAGAATGCCAGATGAGATGGAGAATGAAGCCTCCTCAGGGGCAAACTTGTCCATGGTAAAGAGGAAGGGACACCATGGACCAAAGCACTCTTATTTTTCTTTTATTTGTGATTTACTAAATCCAAGCACATCCACTAATATTTCTAATAAACCTTAAGACTTCTATTTTTATTAATAGTCTCCTAAGAAAAATAGTGGTGGGTCAGCTGTTGAATAGTCACCAGAATTCTACAAAATGTAAGAAAAGTGAAGGAAGACATGACCTCTTCTTAGTCTCTAGAGCCAACCAAAACCTTTTATCTGGTCTATAGTTTTACAGAATAGACTAAGGAGAAAAAATGTTATACAATGGTGGCTGCTTAAAAGGCTGAATTAGAATTCTGTGAAGAAAAATGGTTATCTTGTAAGAAGTAAGGTCTCAAACTGTTCTAGAATTTCTGTTTTTTTTCCCCAAACAGCTAATTATGAGTGCTCTCCATTGCTGAGGAAGAACTTAAAGAAACAATGTTAAATATTATAGTTACACAGTTAAAGTTTCATACAGTAGTTCAAAACTAATTTGTATATTGGTTCATGTGAACTTTTCTTGCTTAGACCAATTGGCTTGAATAAGAATAGAGACATCTGGATTAAGAATTATGTCTTAACACCATAAACAAAGTATAATGTTACATGGAGTATATCCAGTTGGGAATAGGAGGTGTGGCTGGTGAAAAGGACAAAGGAAATGTTAAATCCAGTGTTATTTTGCAACTCTATTAATGACGTGGAAGAGGAGTATGCAGAATGTTAATGGCATATATAGAAGAGTGCCAGCTAAGAGGTTCGCAAATACCATGGGACCTGGAAGAATTACACCTACTGATCTAGGAATATATTTTTAAAGATAAAACAACATAAAGAATCAATGATTAGAAAAACAATATAGTTTTTTTTAAAAAAGCATACAAGTTTTTTATGTGACAAATAATAGAGATAACAAACAATTTAAAAACAGTACTCTTCCCATGTGTTGTCCCCTCCCTTCCACTGCAAAGCTGTAGGCATAATAAGATCATCCTATACTAAGTATTCCACGGGAAACTCTTACAATAATGCATCTGTGCCATTAGAGGCATGTTTGGTATGTAGATGTTTCTGTTATTTTTTAATTATCCTAAGTAACATGCTAGACCATGGCTTGATCTCACGTATGTGTGCCGCAGGTCACTAAAAGGATCAAAAATAGGGAAGCAATGCAGACTCATTGTCGCTATGGAAAATAATCAGTGGTCATCCCTTTGTGATCCTTGGTCATTTCTGTGTACAAAGTAAAACGCCTTTCACATGACAGACATATATGAAAAGGAGTTTAGAGAACAAAGCTGAGAACAACTCCAAAGATAGTTACTTAACAAAAACGATTGAAATGTCGTAATCTAAGACTTTTATTGCAGAATATTTCACAGGCATTTGGTACAGAAACTTCAGTGCACTAACAAGGAGATGAATTACATGGCCCAGGTCTTTCCTATCTATCTCTATTTCTATTCCTACTCTCAGTGATTCATTCTTAAATGTGCTGATAAAAATAGAACCACAGTAGTTCCTTTTTGCTAAGGTTGAATGGCTTTTCTAGCCTAAATCTCTCTGCAGACTGTTTTAAATTTTCCTCATACCATATCTTAGTCTAAAGAGGTATTTTAAAAGAAATATTTCAAAAAATACAGTTCTCAAAATACAACAACAATTTCCCTATTAAAAGAATTTTATTATCATCTATGATAATAGTGGATACTTTAAAAAGTGACTATATTTTTACGTATGGAAACAATCTGATTAATATTAATGACATATAATCAATAATATTTGGCAACTTAATAATTAAAGAAATAAAAAATAGAACAAGACTCTGTGCATCTACCTCATTTCTAGGCTGCCGAGAGGCCTTGAACTGGAGTAAGAACAGGATGGGTAGATGAGCTAGATTTGTGTCTTTTATTTTGAAGCACTGAGTGGGACAATCAGAGAAAGATGTTTAGCAAGTATGTTTAAATATTAGAACCAAAATACAAACCTAAAGGCAGCAGATGAAATTAGATAAAGTGAGAATTTCATGGAGAGAGAGAGAGTATGATGAGAAGAGAAAAAGGATCAGATCTTACATCACCCTATTCTAGGCCTGCATTACCCATTGCCTGATCCAATACAATAGATTCTCAATTGTTCTACATCTCTCCTTCTCCACCACCCCCAATTTCATTTTAGGTGTTGTTCATTGATTGATCTTTTTGTATCACAACTGATGTTACTGGTTGTGTCGGAGCTTGATTCTGGAACTCTTTCCTTTATATCCTCTTTTATTCCTTTTATTGCTATCGATACAGTAATGCCTTCTAATTTTGACCTCTGAACTCCACATTAAAATGTCCAACCAATTATGTGCCATCACTACTTGGATTACTTTAGAATTTACTGTTCAAAAAAGAACTCTTCATTCTCATCTTTACTACCCACCCCAGATCTTTTCATACTTTCCATTTAATTAAATGGTATCATCTATTGCTCAGATCAGAAACGTAACTTGACTCTTCCTCTTGCCTCTTCCTCTTCATTACCACAAGTTACTCCATGAGTTGTTGATTTGTCTTCTAAAATGTCTCTCCAGTCTGTCTTTCCAATCTGCACTGCTACCAGCCTAGTACAAGCCTTTATTATCTCTCACCTGCAGTATAATTATCTTCTACCCCTCTGCTCTCCTCCCAATTAATTTCCTAAAAGTTAGTGTGGTTAGTAAAGGCTTGATAGAAGTGGTATTTATGCCAGAACTGAGATAATGGGTATGACTTTGTCAGAAGAAGAATCAGTTGGTTTCTTTACCCCCACGCTTGGGGATTGAACCCAGGAGGACTCTACCACTGAGCTACATTCCCAGCCCTTTTTATTTTTTATTTTGAGACAGGGACTCACTAAATTGCCAAAGCTGCTCGTGAACTTATGATCCTCCTATGTTAGTCTCCCAAGTTCCTGGGTTATAAGTGCAGACAGATACCTTTATAGGCAGACTAACTCCTTTTTATAAGGGCCTAAAGTCAAGAAGGGATATAATCTGCTTAGAGAATGGAGAACAGAGCTTTGGGGCATTTAAATGAAGAAAAATAAAATAGAAAAGGACAGACTGTGGAGAAAGTCAGGTTAGGGCATTTAGATACTGAGGAAATGCCACCAAAGTTGTCAATGTTTCTGTGATAGCCTTAATCTTCCCTCATCTCTCTTCTTCTGTCTTGACAAAATAGTCATCTAATGAATTAGAACAAATATGCTTACATAGCTCCTGCCACTTGTACTTTGAGAACAGCACAGTGAGAAGGGAATTATCTGTTCCCATGAGGCTGGAAATCCAGCCTTCCAAACATAGGGAATACCTGAAAGATTCCCATGACTAATACCTCCAGTAAACCTTTAACATATATACTGAATTATGTCCCTTTACCTCCAAATTCATACATGGAAGCCCTAAGCCCCAATGTGTCTACATTTCAATATAGGATCTTGAGGTAATTAAAGCTAAATGAGGTCTCTTGGGTAGGACCCTAATCCAATTGTACTGGTGTCCTCATAAGAAGAGGAGACACATATGAGGCCATGTGATACTTTGAGAAGATGGTCATCTACAAGCCAAGGAAAGAGGCCTTACCAGAAATAACACGTACAGACACCTTAATCTTGGACTTTCAACCTTCAGAACTGTGAGATACAAATTTCTTTTATTTAACCATCCTATCTGTTGTATTTTGTTGTGGCAAACCAATAAAGTTAGACACGTGGCTTTTCATCTAAGGTTTAATACAATTGCTTTGCTACTTATCATTAGTAGCATGTTTTCCCCCTTTATTTTGTATGCACCTAGTGCCTAAGTCACAAGAGGTACCCCTCTTTGAATTTAGACTACAAATTAATAATTTAATCAGGATACAAGACACAGAGTACTAAAATATTTTGTTTAAATTTGGCTTGGTATGTGGTGACTTAAATTCAATGATCTTCTTTGGGGCCTGAACAATGACTCAACTATAAACTTCCCTCTGATCTTGTGTGTCTGACTAATAAACAAAAATAGCCCATAGTACATGGAGTCATTTGGGGGTTGAAAAACTTTAGTCAATTTAATAATCTTCAAGGATTATACATACAATCACTATTATAAACATATTTAGTCATATGCC